TTAATATCTAAATACTATAATTGTACTTAAAGTGTCTTGGCAGTAACCCATAGTAGATAAGAATATAAATTCTTATTTTAATCTCAGCTTCATCGCTTATGAGTCTTTTGATTTGAGGAATATTTTTCAATAAAAACTAAAGTTTTTTATTACAGTTATTATTAAATATATCATTGTTTACACTAACCTAGAAAAGGGAAGTGTTTAAATAAGATGGAATATCTTAACCAGACTAAAACACTTTATAGGCAAATAATATTTGTTATAATCATAATCATAACATAAAAGAAGAAATAGAGCCAGGAGCCAGTGGCTCAAACCTGTAATCCTAGCTACTCAGGAGGACGAGATCTGAGGATCGCAGTTCAAAGCCAATCCAGGCAGGAAAGTCCATGAGACTCTTATCTCCAATAAACCACTTGAAAACTGGAAGTGGCACTGTGGCTCAAGTGGTAGAGCGCTCCCCTTGAGCTGAAGAGCACAGGGAGAGCCCAAGCCTAGAGTTCAAGCCGCATGACCAACCAAAAAAAACAACAACAACAACAAAAGAAATAGAATGCAAAGATAATAATGCATATGTTTTCATATTAGTTTTGGTGCTTATGAAATGTTTTCATTATAGTCTGAGAATCCATGGTTCCCTTTGCCTTCTACAGCTCTAGGTCTAAAAAGCCAAACCCATAACAAGGGCCTCTGAGCTATTGTCATGAACAGCCACACATCTTTCACTTTGCTGTGAGGATAAGACCCCAAAATTACAGGAGATCCAGAAACCATAGTAATGCTATAAGGGGTATGGACATCTGACCACATTGAGACTGTATGAAAACAGTTTGATAATCTTTCCATCTAGACAGGGCTGAAGTAGATGATAAGACCCTTGTAACAGGAACTCCAACAATGCCTGTGACACTAAACATAGAAAATAGAAAGTGAGAACTATACCAATGTAAGTAGGGAAACTATGCTAGGAGTGATGTTTTTCTCCTTCTTTATACATTTTAGGGTTTCAAATATTGTTTAACAAACAATATTTTGTTTGTTTGTAATGGGGAAAAATAACTTTTCTTAAACCTCTTTGTAATATAGTGTGTATTAATTGTATACAATAATGGGTTTAACTGGGACACTTTCACACATGAGTATAACATATATTGATCATATTTTCTCTACCATTAAATTAATTTTTTTTCAATTTCAGAGCTTGAACTCAGAGCCTGGGTGCTATCTCTGAGCTTTTCAGCTCAAGACAAGTGCTATACTAGTGTACAACTCTACTTTTGTTTTTTGGGTGGTTAATTGGAGTTAAGAATCTCATGGACTTTCCTGCCCTGGCTGGCTCTGAAACAAGATCCTCATATCTCAGCCTCCCGAGTATCTAGGATTATAAGTGTGAGCCACCAGCACTTGGATAAATTAACTTTTTAAATGGATAACAAAAGGACTACTCAATTGTTTGAAATACTTTAAAGCTTAAATGGTATGTTGTCAAATAAAAGCCATGCCTTGACTTTTTTCCTGTTAGAAATTGTATAAAGTGGTTCACTAGATATAAGATTTTTTTATGTTTCAGTAGATAGACTTTTATTTTATGTTATTATCATTTTTATTGTAAACGTGATATACAGAAGCATTAGAGTTACATAGGTCAGGTAATAAGTATATTTCTTTATGAATGTTGTCACCTATTCCCTCATTTTCTCCCAGGTTTTCCTCCCAATTCCTCTCCCCCCATAAGTTGATAGTTCATTTTCAACATAGTGTCGAGTATCACTGATGCATTTGTTCACCCTTTGTCCCACCATTTCTGTATTTCCCCCTACCTTCCCAAAACAGATAAGTTTACACACAAGACAAAAAATACAGAAATCAAAAACAGCAACAACAGGGGCTGAGAAGGTGGCTCAGTGGTAGAGTGCTTGCCTTGCATGCATGAGTCCCTGGGTTCGATTCCTCAGCACCACATAAGCAAAAAGAAAAAAGCAGGAAATGGCACTGTGGCTCAAGTGGTAGAGTGCTAGCCTTGAGCTGAAGAGCTGAGCGACAGCACCCATGCCCAGAGTTCAGGCCCCATGACCAGACTCAAAAAAAAACAAAAAAACAAAAAACCAGCAACAATAAAACCCACAAAAACAAAAAACCTTTTGCTTCCATTTCTTGAAGTTCATTTCAATAAGTATCATCTTATATGATCATATGTACATAGCTATTGAGTCCTTGTGATTCTCCCCAAAGAATATCCTTCTTTGCTCTCACTGTGTGAATATTTAGAGTCCTGTATGGTTTATCATAGCAAACTGTAGTTTCTTTGTCTTTTACCATCCATTGTGCTTGCTTGTAGATTTATATGCACATAGTAATTTTCAAATGAGGGAAATCATGCAAAGAACCATATTTCTTTGGCTCTGGCTTACTTTTCTTATTATATTTTTTTCCAAGTCTTTCCATTTCCTACAAATGAGGCAATGTCAGTCTTTCTGATGGAAGCACAAAGCTTCCCTATGATGCAGCAATTCCACTCCTGGGCATTTATCTAATAGACCACAAGCCAGGCTGAACTAAAGCTACCAGCACAACCATGTTCACTGGAGCACTGCTTCCCAAAGCCAAGATATGGAACCAGTCCAGATGCCCTTCAGTGGAGAATGGATCAAGAAAATGTGGCATATATACAAAATAGAATTCTATGCTTCCATCAGAAGCATGATATCAGCAGGTTTTTAAAACTCATGGAATAGCTGTTGGAAGCAAGGATTGTAGCTTTGGAGAACACAGGAGAGAAAGCCAATATATTCAGAATCTTACCAAAGTCAATATGTTCTTGACATTCTGATCTTTGAAACCATCCCAAATGATTTCTGAGAAACAGTAGACCCTGTATAATGACCAAAACGCTTTAATAAGTCCACATGAAAATAGAATAAGGCATTTGGTGAAGTATCATTTGAACTAAGCATTTCCCTTCAAATAGTTTGGAAAGCAGTATGGAGGTTCCTCAAAAGACTAAACATAGATCTCCTTTATGACCCAGAAATCCCACTTGTTGGTATTTACCCAAATGAGCACAAATAAGGCCATACTAAAGCTACCAGCAAAACTACATTTTTTGTAGCATTTTTACCATAGCTAAGATATGGAACCACCCTCAATGTCATCAGTTGATGAATGGATCAGAAAAATGTGATATACATACATATATATATACATATATATGTGTGGATGTTATATACATATGTGTGTATATACACACACACACATATATACATATATATGTATGTATGTATATATATATATATATATATATATATATATATATATATATATATATATATATATAATGGAATGCTATGTTTCCATCAGAAAGAATAACACTGCCCCACTTGTAAGGAAATGAAAAGACTTGGGAAAAAAATCATATGAAGTGAAGCAAGCCAGACACAAAGAAATACATAGTTTCCCTTATTTGTAATAATTAGTATACATCTAGGATAATCTTAGTAGATGAACAAAATAGCTCAATAGTTATGACCATATAAGATGATGCTAAGTAAAATGAACTCCAAGACATGGACACAAGAGGTTTTTCTTTGTTGTTGTTATTTTTAATACACTATGTGGTTTCTTTTTTTCTTTTGTGGTTTTCCCCATGTTGTCACTGTATTTGATTTTGGTACCCTGGGTATTGCATATACCCAGACAAAGGACAAAGGAGGGACAATACAGGAGTGACATTCACAAGACAGTATGCTGAAAATGATCTGTACAACTGGGGGGCAGAGATTTGGGAGAGGGAAAGTGGGAGAAAAATGAGGGAGGAGGTAACAAGTTCAACAAGAAATGTACTCATTACCTTACCTATGTAACTGTAACCCCTCTGTACATTGCCTTGACAATAAAATAAAAATAAAAATAAATCTCAAATAGTTCCTTTAACAACTTGACCATTAGTGTTAACATCAAGCACTATTTATAAGGGAAAAAAATCATAACCAAACACCCTCAAGAAAATGCTGTTTGATAGATCCAAGATTGTGAACTACTAACTTTTGGGAGAAATAATCATAAGGTTTTAAATGTGATAACCATATGGTGAAGATGTCTTAAGATCTGTGAAAATCTCCAAAATTTAGAACTGTTTTTTACACTACATAATTAAGCTCACCTGATGCATAAAATCTCCTACGATGTCAACCAGACCCTGACTAAGGCTTACATTATTTAGAGTCAAGAAGGGCAACACAGATTTGCTTGTTTGCTAAACCCAATATCCACTACATTCTGTCCATCCATCAACCTGAACAGTGTTTAAGTCTAAGCTCTGCTCACTGTGGTCACTGCCTTTGCAGAAGTCCACCGTCTCCTGCCTTAATACTTGATTTCAGTAAGTTTATGTGGCTTAGAGCATGGATTCTCATATAAATCTCGTCTCTACCATTCAGAAGTTGTCAGGCACTGTGCAACTCATGTTTTAACAAACAATACATGTTGCTCTGACCTTTTTTCAGTTCTTATACCTCTCCATAGCTGTATTACTTTAAGATTAAGGCTAAAGATTAACATATAAGTATCTATTTCTTTGTCCATGTCAAATACCATTCCTTCCTTTGCATTGTAAGTTCTAGTCATGTCTTCTTTCAGCTTCTCAAATATAAGAAGAGATTATTTCCATGTTCATGTATATGATAAAAGAAACTGACCAAGTTCACCCATCATTTCATATCTAGCACTAGGTGAAGCAATGGAAAGTGATGCTACTAATAATACAAACATCAATTGCCTTTCCTGTGCATTAAGTATCATGTGCAAGTGCTTAATACAATCTCATCTCAACTCTTAATATCCACATTTATTAAATGAAAAGTTTTTGTCTCTATTTTAGTGAGATTGGTGCAGATATAAGTTATACTCCAGAAAGCTAGGTAGACTCTTGTATCATAAGAGAACACTATGCATTAATGTATACTTCATAAAAAATGTTCATAATTCTTTTTTTATTTGCGTTTATTTTATGCTAAATTTATTCCGTGCCATAAGTTTTTGTTTCTTCAGTTTCTTCTGGGATACCTTTTTCTTCTGTGCAACCTCCTCCTCTGGTTTAGGAACAATTTGCTCCTTCTCAGTAAGGATCATCTCAATGTAGCAGGGGGAGCTCATGGATGGGTTAATCCTACCATTGGGCTCTGTAAGTTCGGCGGCGCATCTTAGGTGCTTTGTTCACCTGGATGTGTTCAATGACCAGGGAGTCTACATCTAAACCCTTCAGTTCTGCATTACTCTCTGCATTCTTAAGCATGTGCAGCAGAAATTCAGCACTCTTTTTGGGCCACGGACCCTGTGTCCAGCCCCACTGTTTGGCCTGGCACACCTGCCAACTCCACCATTGCAGTGCCGGAATGGCACACATTGCTTTTTTCTAGTGACATCTTTCAGATACTTGGTCGCTTTTCGGATATGCATACCCTTGATGGCCTGGGCTGTTTCTCTGGTGTTCTTAAAGTATACACGAAAATTGGAACCTCTTGATTTGCATGATTTTGTGGGGTTTTCTGGGTCTAGAGAGTAGCAAACCATTTTCACAGGTCACCTCTGGCCGCTTACAGGAAGAGCTCAGAATTCTTTAGAAATTTATTATAGAGGATAGAATCTTGGCTACACAGGGGTATGATTTTATTATGTGTGGAAAAGATATAAAGACCGTATACTTGATTTTATGTAAATATATAAAATATGTTTTCACATTGCATATGCTTTCAAAGTTGCAAACATATGCAACAAACCTGAAGGTCAGTATGAGGAGGGGAGGACTTACTATGCTAGGAATGAAAACACATGATTTTATGTCTATCAGTACAAAGTAAAAAAAAATCTTAAATATATTCCCAGTGGATTTATGCTGTCTGTTTCCTCCAATATAATTTTACAACATTTAGTTTACAAAAATTGACTAAGGAGATGTTTAGTCTATTGCTTTGCAATGCAACATTTAATTTTATAGCATGAATAATGCATTTCTTTTTACAAATGTAACACTTTCCTGATAGCATCAATAAGCTGCTCCAGAGTTAGTAAACACTACATGAGTGCCAGTAAAGCTACAGATTTTGTTACCAAAACCCACAGATTAATTTTCAGTTCATAAAGTCACATATGGGTTATTTGTCCAATGATTCCTACCCACATACTGAAGTTTGACATGAAAAGTCAGTCAACTTAAATAACAAGTCATGCTCTAATTTGAACCTGTTATTAATCAGTGTCCATTAGATACACATAAAACTATCTAACATGAACTATCTCAGTGCTCTGTAGAATCTAGTCCCTAGTACCTTGCCAGACCTATGCTGTTCCATTTCAACATGGAAAGAACTTCCTGCCTGTGAAACTACAAATAAACTATTCCACTGTTCCCTGCTTATCTAAAACCCTTCCAACAACCATCCTATGTTACAGTCCCTTCATATGACTGGTTTAATCTGGCTCCCTCTTAATTCAGCCTATGATTATAGTTTCTAGTAACTAATAACAATGCCTATGTATAACAACTACTAATCACTAATTATTTAAAATGGTATATGCTTTTTATTGGATTATAAAAGTCTAAAATACAGGCACCATGTTTGATTTTCATTTGCTTTGGATTCATTATCAACTGAAATGTCCATCGTAGAAGCCACTCAGTGAATATTTGCAAAATGAAGTTTATATGGCTGTTAAAAAAAACACTAAATGTCAAGGTAGTACTACAGTTGCCAGCATGTCTGAATACTAATTTACAGTGACATTTAAAACTAATACTATTTATTAGGGTAATGGTAATATATATATGCATATATATATATATATATATATATATATATATATATATATATGTAGGGTCTATGGTTTCAAGTCTTAGCTCTGTAATTTAATTGATTTATGGCCATGAAAAGTAAACTATTTCTTAGAACTTGACTTTTGTCACCTAGTAAATTAAATTTCTACTAGTTTTCCCTCACAGTCCATTAAGAATTAAAAATAATATACATGATACACTTAAGACAGATCCCTACATATTATTAAATGTCATTCTATTAAAAGTGAAGAACTTGCAGTCCTGTCCTTTCTAACATAAACTGTGTCACTAAAATTACAAGGAGCATTAGAATAGTTATCAGAATAAAGACCAGAGCTGGTTCTCTGCAATGAAAGATTTAAAATAATTTAAAATTTCTAAGCAGTCCCATATAATCCAAGTAGGAAAGGCTTAGAGCCAACTGTTCTAGAAGAAATACCTGAGTTCACATAACTTCTTGCCTCTGAGACAGAGTTTTAGTGATGAACACCATTAAGGTCAAACATTTTAAGAAGCTTTGTGCCGGGAGTCAGTGGCTCATGCTTGTAATCCTAGCTACTCAGGAAGCTGAGATCTGAGAATCACAGTTCAAAGACAGCCAGGGCAGGAAAAGTCCGTGAGACCCTTATCTCTAATAAACCACTAGAAAACTGTGGCACTGTGACTCAAGCGGTAGAGTACACGCCTTGAGCAGAAGAGCGCATGGACAGCACCCAAGCCCAGAGTTCAAGCCCCACGACTGACAAAAAAAAAAGAAGCTTTGTAACATATAAAAGAAAACTAACTTACATTCAGAAAATATGTATATTTGAAGTATATTAAAGTATATCTCTAGATATGTCAATATTAATAGCCATGACAGCTGGCAAAAGAGTCACCATGTTTCATTCTATCAGAGCTATAGTAGAGGCCAGAATTAATAATGTTTATATTTTAAGTGCATATGCAAATATATAAACAAATAGAAAAATTACAAAAAAAGCTAATTCAACATCCTACTTCTGTATAAATCAAATCAATAATTAAAGAATCTAATTTCTATTCCTGGCAAAAAAAGAGGATTAAAAGAATTCAGCTCTCTTTGGGGCCTTGATGACCTTGGGTCCCACTGCCCATTAAAGGTTACTTCATCTTATAGTCATGGTAGGAAAAGTTGGAAGACAACACTGTTAAAAATTTTCCACAGATTCTGGTAGGAAAAACAAATTTCCCCTTTTCACATAAAATTTAGTAACCTTGAACTCATCATTTTTATGGTCTCCATGTCTCACTGTAAAGACAACTGATCATAAATGAGGGAATAAACCTCCTTTAATCGATGAAATCAGTGAGTCATTTGACTAAGGGTCACAGAAAGGAGAGAATTGAGGCTGTTAATTTCAAACAGAAGATTGTCCACAGACCACCCAAGAGAAAGAAAAACCATTGACATCCTTCTGAGCTTCCTAGTGTGCATGGAGAAACACGTTTCCTGACTATTTTACCATCATTACATACAGTAGAAAGAAGGATATAGTGAATTTCTGAGCAAGTGATAATAAGTTTATTCTGTTTACTCTTTGACTTTTCAGCTCTATTTCCCAATATGCTTTATTGGACATACCTTAAGTTTCCATAAAATGTTTCATTAAATGGATCCACTGCTGTAGATAAAATAAGCCATCTTGTCAGTAGATTGACAAACTGTCTAGTTATTGATTAGTTATTTCAGCATACCAACAGTTTTGCTTGATAGCAAGATTTCACCTTTGAACATGCAAAATTTTGAGTGTAGTATACAAATAAAAATACTATACTCCAAAATATCAAAGACCTTAAAGGTATGGGGAAGCATTTCAGAGAAGTAGAAAAAACTGATTAATAGAATAATCTCAGTATTATGTAGTTTCTCAATATTAAGACAATAATAATGCATATACTTGACCCAGTAAGGGCAGAGTCTTTTTGGAGAATAGTCCTTAATATAAAGAAAACAATACCAGTACACCAAGAAATCTATTCCAGTGTAATTGATTATGAAAATGTGGACATGTTTTAGTGGTAGGAAGTTGAGAAGTCAGGGCCTCACACTTACTGAACCATACCTCCAGCCATTTTTATGCTGTTGTTTTTTTTTTCTTTGTCACTCATAGCACTTGAACTTTGGGCCGGGGTGCTGTCCCTGAGCTCTTCAGCTCAAGACTAGTGCCCTTCCACGTAAGCCACAGTACCACTTCTGGTTTTCTGGTGGTTAATTGGAAATAAGAGTCTCACATATGTTCTTGCCTGGCTTTGGTCCACTATCTCAGCCTCCTGAGTGGCTAGGATTACAGGTATGAGCCAATGGTATCCAGCTATACTGATTATTTTTAAGAGTCTCACTCCTTTCTTTCTCAGGCATATGTCTGGACCATGACCCACCTACGTTAGGCTTCCTGTTTTAGCTGGAATGGTAGGCTCTCGTCCACATGCCCATTTTCTTTTCACTGAGATGTAAAGTCCATGAGGCTTTCCTGGAATCGTGATCCTTTCAATCACAGCTCCTCTGTAGCTTAGAATATCAGATGTGAAACACCAGGTCCAAATATGGGATGCGTGGAGGGGGAGGGGTCTCACAAATGTTTAGCCTGGGCTGGCCTACAAGTACTATCTTTCTTTTCTCACCTCCTAAATATACAAGCATTAGCCACCAGTACCTGCCTGCAAGTTTGGACTCTTCCATATTCAAAAGTATATAAAATGTTAGGTAGACTTTTGTCATTATTCAAAACACAATGATGTGCAATTACTTTTTAAAATGCTTTTCATGTAAGGTTTGTAACACATGTAACATATATAGAACCCATAATATCTACTCTGTGCAGTGCATATGTGTTAGTAGCCTCTGTATACCAGATAGCTTTGTAGCCTGAGTCTTATGCTTTGCTATTTATTATATTCTTTTTATATGTTTTAGAGGCATCTTTTTTTGATAAACACACTGCTGCATTTTACTTGCTAGAATGGCAATTATGATTAATTTGGATGCATTTATGCTTGTCATCCATCAGGCATCAAATGATGCTCTAAGTACCCATGTGTTTTTCAAGTCTTTTACAGTATAACAATCCTCTAAATAGTAGATTTTTACTGCTAAATTAAAGTTAAAATTCAATTACCATAAATAAAGAATAACACATCTGCATCTGCACATTTTTCTCACTGAACTCAGGATATCATATCAGTTCCTATTCCTTTGATGACTTCTGTCATTTCCTAAGAAAGACATACCATATATTGGGTCATAAAGCTAAAAGTTTCTTCAAATTCTATAAAACCTCAAGGTAGTCTCTTCCAACCAATCAGTGCTCCCCAATATTTGGTTCATAAAGATAAAATTATGGCTGGGAGCTGGTGGCTCATGCCTGTAATCCTAGCTACTCAGGAGGCTGAGATCTGAGAATCTCGGTTCAAAGCCATCCCGGGCAGGAAAGTCCATGAGACTCTTATCTCCAATAAACAATTCAGAAAACTGGAAGTGGTGCTGTGGCTCACGTGGTAAAGCCCTAGCTTTGAGCTGAATTGCTGAGGGACAGTGCCCAGGCCCACAGTTCAAGCCCCACCACCAGAAAAAAAAATAAAGATAAAATTCTGGATGCATACGTGATATTGAACGCTGTCTTGACTGTGCATGCTGACTATTGTCCCATCTTCTTTTTCACTTCTTCACTCAATCAAAGTCCTAGTATGAACAGTGCACCTAATGTCTTCTTATCCTTGCTTACACCTTATTCTATGTCACAAAATATCACTTAGTATCTTCCTCTTCTACCCTATATTCCTTTTAAAATTATCTTTACCAGGAACTTCCTAAGTGCTGGCAAATCCTGGTGAAATAAGAAATAATAAACAAACATTTCTCTGGAGTTTATATCCTATAGAAGAGGATGCAGCAAATAAAGAATAAGATGACTTAGAGTTGTTTCAAGGTAATATATAATATTAAAATAGCAATAAATGGAATGTGACAGGGGAAAATAGGAAAGCAGGATACACAATATAAACTGAGAAAAAAACATGAGTTCTAAATTAGCATAGAATTAAGGGTTATAGACTTTTGTGCTTAAAAGTACTTTCAAAAATTCTGACAAGAGCCAGGCGATGGTGGCTCATGCCTATCATCCTAGCTATTCAGGAGGCTGAGAGCTGAGGATCATGGTTCAAAGCCAGCCTGGGCAAGAAAGGCTGTGAGACTCTTATCTCCAATAAATCACTCAGAAAACTGGAAGTGGCGCTATGACTCAAGGGGTAGAGCGTAAGCCTTCAGCTGAAGAGCTGAGAGACAGCACCCAGGCCCAGCATTCAAGCCCCATGACCAGAAGAAAAAAAAATTCAGACAAGAAAAGCCTTGATCACATAAATAGTAAATAGTTGGTTTAGCCCTAGGAACTATAACTGATGTCTCCTTAAAGCCACAACATCATTTCTGTGCCACATACTGATAAGGGAATTCACTTCTGAGTCAAAATGGCCTGGGTGTTAAGCTCTCTCTCTGTTCTTAAGTAACTTAACTCTATTATCTAAATCTTATCTTTAAAGTGAAAATAATTATAGTACCACGTATAAATACAGATACACATGGAAACAATGCATGAAGATATTTGGATAGTTTGTGCCATATTGTACATTTATATTGAACTATAGCAGAGTTTTTAAGTTTTGGGTATGTTTTTAATCTCTTCATCATACAAAATAGTAATGAATGATTGGTGTTACCTTAGAAATTACACGTATACCATATTGAAATAAAACCCTAATGCAATGATATAGTAAGGGGCGTGGCCATTAGGACATGATATAGTAAGGGGCGTGGCCATTAGGACATGATATAGTAAGGGGCGTGGCCATTAGGACATGATATAGTAAGGGGCGTGGCCATTAGGACATGATTAAGTTATGAGTGTTCTATTCTCATGAATGGAACTGGTGCTCTTATAAAAGGGTTTGAGAAAGAAATGAGTGCTTGGTACCCTTCTAACATGTACCATGACAGGAAAAAACAACCATTCCCTCCACAGGATGCAGTAATAAGATTGACAAGAGAGAAGACATTGGAACTGCACTTGACACCTAGTCTTACATTACTTTAAATACCTTTAAAACTATAACAAATACATGTCTATTCTTTACAAATTATGGAGTCCAAGGTATTTTACTAGAGTAGCACAAATACATTAAGACAGCATCTATTATGTTCACAATTTTATATTGCACCAAAATCAGTTATACATTAGCTGAGCAGATTGGAACATTTTATGCTGATGATATTATCTGGTTTGTTGGTTTGGGGTAATTTAGTTTGTTTTCTTTTTGCACTGATACTGAGACTTGAACCAAGAGCCTTAGGCTCTTGCTTGGTTTTTTCACTCACAGCTGATGCTCTACCTCTTGACTGGTGCCTCTAGTTCCAGTTTCTTGATGGCTAATTTCAACTCAGAGTCTCTAAGAATTCTCTGCCCAAACTAGCTTTGAGCCTCCATCTTTGAATTTCAGCCTTCTGAATAGCTAGGATTACAGTACCCAGTTGGTGTTGCCTTTTTTGTTGTTGTTTGATTTGGTTTGGTCTGGTTTGCTGTTGTTTGTTGTTTTTCTATTTCAATAGATTCAGCTCCTGAACAGTTTCAATAAAAGGAGAATCAATATTGTTTAGTGACCTAAACAAGCCAAAGAGAAAACCAAGTGGGAGGTCATAGTAGCACTGTTTTCCCAACACTGAATTGACCCAGATACTACTTCTTTGAGAAAAACTGACTTTTCACAATGCTTTCCAAATCTGCTGGAACAATAAATAGATGCTTCAATTTCTTCCATGATAGAGAAAACCATAGCAACAGGAGAAAGGCATATATCATAAAAAGAATACTTTTCTGGAATGTATTCAGCTTTCCCATAATAGCAATTTACAAGATATCTTAAGAAATATATTTTATCCACACACATATATCCTTCTGTTCTGGGCTAACAACTGTCAGCATAATATTTTCTTCTATATGATAAACATCATAAAGGCCAATGTCTTATCCAGGTCTTTTCTTTTTCATAACTCAAGACATTGTGTTAGAAAAGTTAAGCACTTAGTGTTTAACTTTTAGTAGGAAGAGAAAACATGTCTAGTTAGCACATGAATTAGTCAATAACTTGTGCTGTGGCTTTG